ATTGGAGGAAACAGTTTTGAAAGACTCTTGCTGGAGGAAATAGGATTACTTAATATTTCTGTATTGCTATAAATTTCTTTTGCAAGGTCACTGCATATGACTGAAAGTGTTACAGGGCAAATCAGTAGACCCTGGGACTTTGACAAAATGACAGCATTAGGACTGACAGGGCCTCAGAAGTTCTTTAGAATCCAGAATTTCTGAACTTCCCTGATATAAGAATCACCAGGATTCATTCAAAAATTCCCAGGCCCCACTGAAATTCTTCCAAGAAAGGCCTGGAACCCTCTATAGTTTTCCAAGTGCCCCTGGTGAGTGCTGTCATCAGGAAGGTTTGGAAACACTGATGATCTCATCCACTTCTCTGCCCCCGTCCCTAAGACCTCCTAAGGAAATACCTGGGCCCACCTCTGACGTTTGTTCTTCTTAAGCCCTTGCCAGGTAGCCATTTCTTCTTTTTCTGGGGAGGGGGGTACAAGAGATTGCATTCCAGGGGCACTCAACCATTGAGCCATATCCCCAGCCCTATTTTGTATTTATTTAGAGACAGGGTCTCACTGAGTTGCATAGCACCTCACTGTTACTGAGGCTGGTTTTGAACTCACAATCCTCCTGCCTCAGCCTCCTGAGCTGCTGGGATTACAGGCATGTGCCACTGCACTTTGCACCAGGTTGCCATTTTTTATTGCACAAATTGTCCCTTTCTGTCCATGGCCAACTTCTGGCTCCCTTTAACTTCTCTTCATTAACCCCAGTTCTTCTTCCAAACATAGGACAATTTTCCATTTTCTCTTTGAGCTATAAACCTGTTTATTTTCTTCACATGTTTTTAGAGGAAATCTTTAATATTGTCGAGAGGGAAATGTGTTTTCCTTTCATGAGAACTTGTAATAAAATTCAAAGATTGCTTACATAAAATTGTGGTATTCCTCTTTGAACTTTTAAAGTAGTTTCTGTCTTATTCTATCTTTGGTTGCTATGACAAAATGCATAAGGCTGGGTACTCTAGAGAGAAAAGAGCTTTATTTAGCTTGAAGTGGAGGTTAAAGAGCATGGCAGCAGCTTCTGCTCAGCTCAGATGAGGATTTCATGGTATCAAAATGGCAAAGGCTCAGGTAAGAATGGCAGAAATGCATGGAAAATCATATAGAAGAATTCAGTGGAGAAACCAGAATGGATTCCTTATAACAACCCATTCCCGCAGGAAACCAGTCCAGTCCCACAGACTGGTGCTAATACCTTAGGAGGGTGGTACCCCCACGACCTATTACTTTCTATCAGGCCCCATCTCTTAAAGATTCTACCACCTCAGCAACGCCACACTGGAGACCAAGCCTTCAGCACATGACCTTCTAGGAGAGAAACCATTCCCAACCTATAGCTGTCTCCATCTGAAAAGACACTATGCTAAGAGGACAGACCACCACATACACATTCTGAAGGACACATAAACCCATGTATTCATGTGCTGTGGTCCTGAGAGCTGCCACAGTATACAAATGAACAATTCATCATTCATTCCTGTGATTTAATTAGAGTGCACTTTTACAAAGATTTATTAAATGTTTGCCGTGTACTGAGCACTATGCTGTTTGCAGGGAATATTGATATAATATTTATCTAACTGGTTTGATTACCTCTGCCCGTAAGACTCTTGGTGAATAAGCTCCATAGTTTTGCCCCTAATAATAGCAATGATCATCAATTTGGTAATTGGAAAGGATTTCAGAGGTCCCCTGATCCAACTTTTCTTTTTTTTAATATTTATTTTTTAGTTTTAGTTGGACACAATGCCTTTATTTCACTTATTTATTTTTATGTGGTGCTGAGGATCAAACAATCCACAATCCCAGCTCATGATCCAACTTTTCAATCCACTAAAATAAATGAGTAAATGTGATAGAGATTCTGTTCTTTAGGACTTTATGGTCTTGCAGGGGGGAGCATTTTTAGAGGGAATGGCATTAAATGAAATTAAAGCACCTATTTATTAGGTTATGAATAGCTCAACTATATACCTCTAAGGATGGGTTTGTCTACATCCATGATGTAGTCAAAGGAAAGAGTGATCAGTATGGAGCTTGGAGGCAGAGTGTTCAGTTGCACTTCAGATGAGCTAAAAGAGGACATTTGAGCCCACCGAGGTAGAGCACACCTTTAATCCCAGCAGCTCAGGAGGCTGAGGCAGGAGGATTGCAAGTTCAAAGCCAGCCTCAGCAATAGCAAGGCTCTAAGCAACTCAGCAAGACCCTGTCTCTAAATAAAATATAAAAAAGGATCTTGGGGCTGTGGGTCAGTGGTAAAGCACACCTTTGTTCAATCCCTGGTTACCCACCACCCCGTCCCCCAGCCCCCAGAGACAGAGAGAGGACATTGGAGCTCCCTTTCACTTATGTGTTCCACACTAACCTATTATGCCTTGCGTGTTAAACACTAGGGATCAGAAGCCAGGAGGAGCACCTGTTCTCAAGTAGGTTACAGTCTCTCTCCAGGACTTGGGCATCCACTTATTTGCCAATGGATACACTCACTGAAATTCAACTTGAACCAAATTTGTAAGTTGAGGCACTGTCACAGTCTTTTCTACACGTATGCAAAGGTGGGAAAATTTTGAGTCACCTGCCTCACCTATTTCCAGCCGTGGTCAAACAAGGTCACAGCCTTCCTTCCTTTCCTCACTCCACTTCATATTGTGCCATTTTTTTTTTTTTTTGCATTTTGGGGTTTTGCTTTCATGTCTTTACTATTTAAAATGCCCCTCAAGCCGGACACAGTGGCTTATGCCCGTCAGATGTAGTGTTGAAATGGCATCTAGCGTTGTGAGCGCAAGAAGGCTGTGCTGTGGCTTCCAGAGAGAATCACAAAAGTTAGATGAGCTTCTCTCAGGCATGAGGTGTAGCGCCATTGGTTGTGAGCTCAGTGTTAATTGGTAATCTGGTACATTCAGCAATAGGAGAGGAGATTTGCTGATTGGTATATGAGTATGCTTCAGAAAGTGCTTAAGTAACATCTACCGTGTGTGGCGAAGCTGTGGAAAAGATGGAAAAGAGACCAAACTCAGGAATTCATGAGGTGACAACTGACTAAAAAGCGAATCACCAAAGCCTAATGGACAGCACTGTTATGAGGCTGAAAGCCAAAGACATTTAGAGTCACATTATCCAAGGTCAGGAAAACTATTAAACCCTTCTCAGTTAATGTTGTATTATTAAAAAAAAATTAGATATCATTAATTTCTAAGAAATATTAACTTTCGGTATCTTCAAAGACAAACACATGTAAAATAGGTAATGGGTTGATCTGTTGATGATACTGCTATGACCAAAGGTACACAGGAACGGATCCCTATGTTTCCTTTAGGGAACACGTCCCTTTCCCCTACAAGCCAGTGCTTGTGGTGACTGAAAAACATGACCACAAGGAATAACAAGACTTGCTGGGTGTAATGATGCATGTCTGTAGTCTCAGCCACTCGGGAGGCTGAAGCAGGAGGATTGCAAGTTCAAAGCCAGCCTCAGTGGCAAAAAGCCCCCATAGGTGCCATCCCCAGTACCACGAAACAAAACAAAAACAAAGTACCAAGACGTTGTGTTATAGACCACAGGAAAGAGTGAGCGGTTCATTTGGCATTTTGACTAGAATATAGGATATCCTGGAAAAGAAGAAGAGGGGAGAGAGAGGAAAAAGAGAGAGGAGTATCACCATAAGTTAGAACCAAATCATGGAGGCTTTGAAAGCCAAAATATGAAGCCAAACAATGGGAGTGCATTAGTCTGGGTTTTGTTACTATGAAGAAATTGTTTGAGGGCTGGGGTTATGGCTCAGTGGTAGAGTGCTCGCCTAGTATGTGCAAGGCCCTGGGTTCGATCCTCAGCACCACATAAAAATAATTAAATAGAATAAAGGTATTGTGTCCAACTACAACTAAAAAATAAATATTAAAAAAAGAGAAAGGTTTGAGCCTCCAGCCATCACTGGATTGCTTTACAAGAGTGTAAGTGTATGACTACATCCTCAGATAAGGACACTTGATGCTCAGTTCAGAGGTCCAAAATTCTCCATTTCCTGATTGCTTTGCTGTTTTTACTTGTTTTCATTTAATCCTCACCACGGGACTTAGTTCTCATCTGGTGGGGAGTTGCCCCAAGGCCCTACCTTGGTTGAACTTGTTTTAAATTTCCTGTTTTCCCTGAAAGTGGTTTCCTATCTCCCCACCCCAGCTTTACATCACCTGCCATTTTGATTAGCACAGCTTAGGAAATAACTCAGATCACCTTGAGATACCTAAGAAGATTAGAAAAGAGGGAAGAAGGAAGGGTGAGAAAGAAGCAGAGAATGTCTCCTCTCTCTTAGACAATGCAGTCACCAGGGAACCAGTCACCAGGATCTATCTGGATCCCCAAGAACTCAATAGGGATCCACTGTCAGCCACCTTGGGGTTCCCATTTGAAGCTGCTGCCCAAAGCATCTTCTCATTGATCTACTTCTGGGGATCTTGGAAAAGATGCTTTGAAAGTCTCCTCCCAGGTTGGGAGTGTAGCTCAGTGGTAAAGCTCTTGCCTAGCATGCAGGAGGCCCTGAGTTCAATCCCCAGTACCATCAAAGTAAAAAAAAAAAAAAAGTCTCCATGCCCCCACTTGAGGACTTAGTAACCTATAGCCCAAAATAGCCTCATAATATGCAGGTCTCCTTTCCAAAATTGTTAAGAATCCCAAGATGGTGGTAGCAAAGCAGTAAACCAACCCCCATCTGACTACATGGATTGCACACCCATACAGTGGGTCACAGTTCTGAAATAGCCTGTCTCTCTCCATGCCCTGTGAAGGATCCCGGTCTCCTGTCTTCCCATCACTCTGCCCACAGTGGAACATTTTATGAACCACAGTTTAAGGCTTTGAAGCAGCTTCTCTTTGTATGTAAAAGAATTAACTGTTATTTCTACCTTTCTTGACAGTAATAACTTTTGAGCTAATTTTTATTTTTTTGTTCTACCTCTTCAGTGACAACCCTGCTACCCAGTTTAACCTCAAAACTCACATGAATTCTCGAGACCTGAAGACAGCTATTGAGAAAATTACCCAGAGAGGAGGGCTTTCTAATGTAGGTATGTGACCCCGCTTCAGATAATTCTATCTTGTTGCCATGGTTCTCTTTCTACGTGGTTGTCTTCTAACATTCTATATTGAAGGAGGAAAAAAAAAAAAGAATCCATCAAGAAATGACTCATGTAACATCTGTATCTTTTCTAAAGTATTATAATGAATTCAGGTGGCAAGAGTTGTCAAAACATATCTGCCATCTAGTTCCAGCTTGCTTGGTTCCTCGGGATGCCAACATTCTTCAGGACAAGCAGGACTGCTGTTGTGACTATTTCCTGGTTGGCCTCCAAGTTGCCAAGACTGAACATTAAATTCCACCACCAATTCCATCAGGAAGCAGCTCAGTGCTCCTTGGGAGTCTTGTTCCAATCAGCTACGGTTGCAGCAATAACTTTGCAAACAGAGTCTTGTCCTCTATTTCAAGATGAATCTTTTGTGATGTCTGAGCCTTTGGAGGGGGAACCAGAAGTTCAAGATCTAACCCTCACTGGAGCAGGTTCAGAAACTCCATTTTATCATTTCACCCAGAGGTGACGGGGCATTAGGAAACAACAGCTTTACATTTTCACACTAACCGTGCTCAGACTGTCAAAGAACCCATGCCAGTGTGTAATTAATGTATAAATGGTAGCCTGACTTTGGGGGAACACAAGGGGGGATGATTACATGCTTCTCAGGGAACCTGTTCATACCATCAAACTCCAAAAGACTGGAGATGTGGGCCACATTTGCTTGGCATGGAGAAGCTACGTGCAGGGTATAGAACTATCTTATCCTTGAGGGAGTTACAGTAAATCTGATTAATTATTTCCCTCCCCCAACCCTCAGAGAACATTTTGTAGCCATCAAACATAAGAATCGAGCAGATGCAGACCCTTTCACTTTTGAACAAAATTAAATAAACACTGACCGAGCTGCTGCTCTCCATGCCCCAAATTCCAAAGCATCTTCGTTACAAACATGATAAAGTTGATTTCTGACTTGTTCTCCACTGAATCCTTCCATTAGCAAAATTTTACTGGAGAAAAACTTCAGAAGACAACTAACTTCCCTGAGGAGGTCAGAAAGGTGTTCGAACCTAATCAGTATACCTTTGTCAGTGTAGGACAGGTTTGAACTCTGCCTCTGGTTCAGGGTTTGGTTTCAGAGGACAGAATCCAACCAGCTGGTTCAGGTATAAAGTGACTTATTTCAGAGCATGAAACACTATGAGAATTATAGAAAGGACTGAAGAAGCTGACTCTGGGAGCTTCTTTTGGAAACGGGGCTTCCAAGGGAGCTGCTACCTCTTCCAAGTTCTAGAAACAACTTTCTGAATTCTGCCACCACAGGCTCTTCAGGAACCTGCTTCAGCAGGAAGCCCACGATCAGAAACCTTCTTCTACAGCTGCCAAACTCCAGAACCAAGTCCTCCCTGACCCATTCTTACCCACAAAAGGGCAATCCTGCACCCTCTCTCCTAACACCATTGAAGCTAGCAACCAACACAAACATGTCTGTCAGTGGTGCTCCAAGAGAAGTCAAATACTCTACAGATTCTGATCAGCAGAAACTGCTGAAAGAAAAGTTCAGCCCCTGCCTGCTGTCATCTTCTAGATCTCATGTAAATGCATCGATTTGTGAAAGTAAAACAGAGCTGAAAATCTAGATGCAAGAGAGTATGGACAATGTAGTTTTCAGACATCCAGCATCTGGTTTCAAGACCCACTACAAGCCACGCACAGTGGCGCACACCTGTAATCCAGCAGCTCTGGAGGCTGAGGCAGGAGGATTGCAAGTTCAAAGCCAGTCTCAGCAATTTAGCAAAGCCCTAAGCAATTGAGTGAGAACCTGTCTCTAAATAAAATATTTTTTTTAAAAAATGGCTCAGGATATGACTCAGTGGTTAAGTGCCCCTGAGTTCAATCCCTAGTACCAAAAGAAGAAGAAGAAGGAGGAGGAGGAGGAGGAGGAGGAGGAGGAGGAGGAGGAGGAGGAGAAAGAAAAGAAAAGAAAAGAAATCAACAACAATAAAAATCCACTGCAAGGTGGATGGAATGTGCATCAAGCACTGGTTCACTGTGGGCTCAACTAGACTCAAGATTAGGTGGGGTCAAAGTGATCTTTTGGCTCCCTTATGGTACCTAATATTAAGCCAGAAAGGACTACTAGGTGCTGTGGGACTTGATGGAAATTATCCCTTGGCCATGGAAGCAGTTTTCAGCAGCCAGCGGTTTCCCTTAGCAACCAGGTTCTGTGCAGACAGTTCACATAGGTTCACTAAGACACTTCTCCAGGACTTTGTATGTAACCATTTGATGCTTTCATTTGACAGGTAATATTATACTGCCCAAACCAGAGAAGCATTGAGTGTAATAATATTCACCTAAAGAAGGTGGTTGTTAGCTGTTATTAGGGACTCATTTGAGAATCTCCAAAAAGAATATGTATGGCCTTGCTACCCAGATAGTACTCATACACAAGATCCTGTGTATAATTTCAGAGATGCATGGGTATACACACACATCTCTGTCACACACACATACACACACACATGGTTCCACACAACCCAGCAAGGGAGACTTGTCATCCCAATTTGCCCAGGGGAACCTGGGCTTTTAGCACTGAGACTGGGAAATTGCTGGAAAAGTAGGATAGTTTGTCATCTAGTTGACTCTGAAAATGTCCTGAGACCCTGTACACGGGAGAAAGGCATCTCGAGGTTTCACAAAGCCCCATTTTTGTTGCACTCAGCTGAAGCAGATCACTGGCCTGGAAGTCTAGACCCAGAGACTATTAGGGACCACCCAGGGCCACACAGCCAGTGGTTGGCACAGCCAGGGCTAGAACACAGTCTCTCAGTTCCTGGTGGGTATAGCTCTTCCCTGGACAGCCAGACTTGGGCCCCTGGCTTGGAACTGGAGGAAAGACCGCTGACCACAGAATACAGCCCTGCAGGCCCAGCAGCTCCTGGAACACTGGGCTCGCCCAGGCTTTAGGAAGCCCAGAGAAGGCTACTGTCACTCCAGTTCAACTCCTCCGAGCCTGTGCTCTAGGACACAACGTGGGGCAGCTTAGAGACTTAGAGTGAGTCTAGTACCCAGGCAGATAAGAGGCCCTTTATTTTTATGAAAGTCTTTCCCTGCTACTTGCTGGTCCCTATAACTTTTTTCAAAGCAGGAAGCAATTAGAAATTAAAGGCTTAAAATGAAACTAAGGGAACGATGTGATGACTGCATGGCATTGTGAATGTGCCCCAGTGCCACTAAACTGTACACCCACAACTAAAGTGGTTCAAAAAATAGAACAGTCAAACTGGGAGGGAATGAGTGTGTTTTTCTGGACCTCTTTGTACTGCTGTGATCTGTTCCTGAATTTATCACTGGCATGATCCCTTCAAGCATGAGTCTCTTTTTCTTCCAGGCCGGGCCATCTCCTTTGTGACCAAGACCTTCTTTTCCAAAGCCAATGGAAACAGAGGTGGTGCTCCCAATGTGGCCGTAGTGATGGTGGATGGTTGGCCCACAGACAAAGTGGAGGAGGCTTCAAGGCTTGCAAGAGAATCAGGAATCAACATTTTCTTCATCACTGTGGAAGCTGCTGCGGAAAATGAGAAGCAGTATGTGATGGAGCCCAACTTTGCCAACAAGGTTTGTAATTGCCAGAGACTCACCCACAGTCAAGCTCCCCTGTACTCTGAAAAGCTGAAATTCCAGGAAGATTGTTTTCTTGGGCTTTCAAATGTGTGTGAAGCTCACATCTAGGTAGAAGTGTCTCCAGTGAGGGAACCTCAAATTACCCTCTCAAAGAAAAGTCCCACACCCACCCTAAGGCCAGCAGCTTGGGAACAGAAGGCAGGAGCAGTGTCCCAGAGGTCTCATGTGGAGGCTCTTCCTTGCTCCTCCCACAGCATCAGGGACCTCAACCAGGCAGCTTCATACAAATACATGAGCTTGCACATGTGTGTACACACACACACACACACACACACACACACGTACTTTCACACAAACATGCTACAAATTAATCCATCTGATAAACAAGAGAAGGGAGGTGTTGCGACATTTCAGGCAGGTCGTGTTTCCAATGCTACTTCTGGGTTCTGCGGAGATGTCTGGCCAGAGATGAGGCAGGACAGATGGGATAGTAGGCCTCCTGTTCCCAGTCTACTAAACCACTTTTGGTGTTTTCCAGTGGCTGTCTACATAAACCTTCCTTCAAAGGCAAAGCTTCAACTGAAGGACAGAGAAGGAGAGAAGAAAGAATGGAGGGAGGGAGGAACAGAGCCAGCCAGCCAGCTTGGACAGCTTGTCTTTGGTTTTTTTATTTTATTTTTTCGTACTGGGGTACGAAAAAAAAAAAGATCTTTTCATTTATTTATTTACTTATTTTTATTTGAGACAGGATCTTGCTAAGTTGCAGAAGCTGGCCTTGAACTTGGGATCCCTGCCTCAGTCTCCGGAGTTGCTGGGATCTCAGGCCTGTGCCACCACGCCGGGCAAAATCTTGTCCTTGATGCTCCTCCAACTTTATTATTATATGTTTTTGGAGCTGATAGGGCCGGGCCTCCTGCAGCATAGCAGGCTGCTGACCTCTACTTGCTCCATGAAATTCTCTTCCTTGACTTCCTGGCCCTGTGCAGCTGTTATTTCACTTGCTCTTTTCTTTTTTTTTTTTTTTCCATTATGTACCCTGAACATGGACCTTTTCAGGACTTAGACCCTGTTCCTCCATCTTCTCTCACAAGATTCTCTCCCTCCAGTCTCCCCAGGGCCACAGCATCAGTCCTCATCTCTTGAGTCTTCTCTGTCCAGATGAAAGACTCTGCCGGCACCCCCATACTAAGGATTGAGCCCTGGGGTGCTCTACCACTGAGCTACATCCCAGCCCTTTTTATTTTTAGACAGTCTCTTGCTGTTGCTCCTGCCTCAGCCTCCCAAGTCATTGTGATTATAGGCATGTGCCATCACACCTGGTGACCTTTCCCTTTTCGGAAGCCCTGTCAGAACCTGAAGTCCTACACGCAGCAAGCCAAGTTCATCATCATCTTTCCCACCCAAACTGTCTCCTTCTCGGGACTTTGCATGAACAGCCCCGTCCATCCCAGAATTCCTCATCAGCTCCCAAACTGCATCCCTCATCTCTCTGTTCTTTCTCTTGCCCAGTGACATCTCCCTACTTCAAGTCAGTATTTAACATCCTGCCTGCCTTTCTCCCGGGTCTCCCTTGTAGAGATTTCACAGTGAAGCCCAATTCATGCTTATAAAGAGTTCTTCCAACTATGGGGCTCTTGCTCCAAATCCTTCACTGTCCCTCATTTTTCTTGAAGCCTTCTAAAGCATGGTCCCAACCCCACTTCCTGGCCCTGCTGCTGTGACACCACACAGGCCCTGTGCTCCAGCCAATGACCACCTGTCCCTGGCCAGCACCACCACTCTCTGCTGCTGGAATCTCACACAGGCTGTCCGATAGGGATCCTCTTCCTCCATAGGATCAGCTTCCTACCAGCACTCAGCCTCTTGTGCCGCCTCGTCCATGGAAAGTTTTGTAACCTGCTTTAGGTTTTTACAAATCAAGAAAAAGATGTATTTCCTGGGAAGGATTAAGTCATTATTTGTTTCAAAATAATTTTTTAATTGTACAGATTCATCCATAGTCATGAGGTCAGACATGCTCTGTGACCCGCAAAGGAAGGGACAGGAAGAAATGCCCATCTTAGGAACACTAGCCCTGTCACTTCCAGGAACACACCAACAAGTTTGCTCAATGTTTATTTGTAGCTGACTTGAATTTTTCTGGAACAAGCTTGGGCACAAGTAAATAAATATTCGTTTGCCTAGAGGCAAGGTTGTCTGGAGGGCAGAGCTTGGGTTTTGAAGGCAGACAGCTAGGCAGTCTAGTTTGGGCAACTCAGGGATGTCCCTTGTAGTGGACCCTCAGTTTGTTTTCTAACAATGGGGGGTCATCGTTCCCCTTGTAGGGTGAGGTGAGGATTGAATGAGAGAATCTCTCCAAGAGCACCTAGTATGACCCTGACCCATGTGGCTACTCAGCAACTCTGGGGCCCCTTCCCACTGGGTACAGGCTGCTCTGGAAACATTCCTCAGTCACTTCTTAGGTATGCTCTGTTTTCCCCAGGAGAACAAAAGCTTTCTTTAATTCTCTCATGCGTTGGTGCCCACCAATGCCAGTCATGGCTGGCTGCCAGTACAAATGAATTGAGCTGAAGAGGCATAAATCTGAAGCAGAAATCAGTGACTTACATCTCCCTGTGCATTCGCCTAGCACAAGGGCTTCCCACTGAGGCACTGGCAGCCGCGGAGACAGGAGTGAGTTCAGAGATTACTAGAGAGGTCTTTGCCTCAGCAAGTGCCCAGACAGGGGAACAGAAAGGGAGAGAGCCATCAACAAGGACTAGCACAGCAAACAGGAGTCTTGTTTGCTTCTTCACCCAACTGGAGGCCCAAGGTAAGGGTGCCAGGTTGGGGGGACTTGACCCCTGACCTGGTGAGTGTCCCTCCCCTCTGTCCTCCAGGCTGTGTGCAGAACCAATGGCTTCTACTCGTTCAACGTGCAGAGCTGGTTGGGCCTCTCCAAGACCATGCAGCCCCTGGTAAAGCGGGTCTGTGATACCGACCGCCTGGCCTGCAGCAAGACCTGCTTAAACTCAGCCGACATTGGCTTTGTCATTGACGGCTCCAGCAGCGTGGGGACAGGCAACTTCCGCACGGTCCTGCAGTTTGTGGCCAACATCAGCAAGGCGTTTGAGATTTCAGACACAGACACACGTATCGGGGCCGTGCAGTACACCTATGAGCAGCGGCTGGAGTTTGGGTTTGACAAGTACAGCACCAAGCCCGACATCCTCAACGCCATCAAGAGGGTAGGGTACTGGAGTGGTGGCACCAGCACTGGTGCTGCCATCCACTATGCCCTGGAGCAGCTCTTCAAGAAGTCCAAGCCCAACAAGAGGAAGCTGATGATCCTCATCACCGACGGCAGGTCCTACGACGACGTGCGGATACCAGCCATGGCCGCCCATCAGAAGGGTAGGGGGAACCTGGTTCAGCCAGCTGCTGAGGCTTCTTGGGGCTGGGAGAGGCTGTCCTTGGACGGCAAGGAAGGCTCTGCTTTTCTGTGCATTGGTTTTGTCTGTGACAAAACATTCAAAACCATTAGAGGAGCAAAGATTGCAGGTGTCTGAGTAGCAAAGAGGGAAGGAGGAAGGGCAGCCAGAGGCTCCCCCAGTGTCTTTGAAAACAGGGACCCTTTCCTTGACCTCCTACATCCTGAGACTTTTCCCACCAGGGCTTGAGACACTAAAAGGGAATGCTATTTGTCACTTTCTATGAAAGAAAAACAAATCCCTAGCTGTGTTGAAGACACCAATTTGTCTTTAGTACCTTTTAAAGACTAATAGAGTTCTTTAAGGAAGTCGTACTATGATTGTAAATTAGGTATTGAGGGTTTGGGGGGGGGGAAACCCAAAGAAATTTTGATTCAGAATATTTAAAAGAGATATTTCCATATAAAAATTTCTAAGTTGTTGAGAGAAGGCTCAAAAACACAAAAAATGAGGGCTGGGGATGTGGCTCAAGTGGTAGTGTGCTCGCATGGGGCACTGGGTTCGATCCTCAGCACTACATAAAAAAAAAATGAAGTAAAGATATTGTGTTCACCTAAAATTAAGAAATAATTATTTAAAAAAAACACACAAAATGAACAAAGTACTTTAGTGCTTAGAAAATAAGTCACATTTATGAATTAATTAAAATATATATAAAACTGTTCTCAAAAGTGCCATAAAACAGCATGAAAATATAACAGCCTGAAGAAACCCAAAATGATAATAATAATAATAGTAATAATAAATGGGCTGGGGTTGTGGCTCAGTGGTAGAGCGCTTGCCTAACAAGTGTGAGGCATTGGGTTTGATCCTTAGCACCACATAAAAATGAATAAATAAAAAGTATTGTAGCCATCTACAACTAAAAAAGAAAAATAGTAACAATAATAATGATAAAACTGAATGGAGTAGTCAGTGGAACTGGAGACCTCTAAGTGCTAGGGTACAAAACTCAATGCAGTGGTCAATTATTTTTCCTTTTTCTGTGTATACTTTTAATATGGGTTATTTTTTCAGGATTTTTTGTATTCTTGAGAGCTGCTTTAAATCCTTCCTAAGACAATTCTTAATGAACGGGTGGTGCTGGCTTCCAGAAACCAAAGTATCTAGACAATGCATTCAGGCAAAGTCTTCTCAGGGACTTGCCTTTTGCAGAGTCTCGGGCATCTTCACAATGGTGAGATGGTGATGTTCTTTGTGCCAGTGGTCACAAATTCCCTTGGTCTCACGTCAGCAGAGTTGGTCAAGGGTCATAAGCTACCTGCTCCAAATCCCAGAGTGAGTGGCAGATGGGCCAGCTCTTGGCTCATCAGCCCAGGGCTTTTTCTAGCACATCTGTCCAAGCTCACGTTCAGTCCCACCCTCACTTATTTCTCTAGGTACTTTCTTTGGGCCTCACCCAGGAAGTGAGGGAATGAGAAGACTGTTGGAAATGGGAGCTCTCAGGGGATCATATTCTGGGAAGCTTTAAAGAACTGGGACCAATAGATACAAATTACATGGAGGCGGGTTCCTGCTCAGCCAAACACTATGATTCATCTAAAAAAGCAATGAGCATTGTGTTCCTAGGATAATCCAAGTCCAGAGTTAATGACCATCTGTCAGAATTGACAGTAGAAGGTTCTGTGCAGGGGTGGTCTCAAGGATCTGAAAAGTTGCATACTGCTCTCTAGTCTTTATCGGGGGATATTCTTTCTTTCTTTCTTTGAGCAGAAATATGGGCTTGCTCAGTCTAAGCTCAGTTCCCATGGCCACTTGGCCAGCATTTTAAAACCCAAGGCTGGCTTCCCCTAATCGAGACAGTATTCAGAGAAAAGAAGCTGGAGAGGTGAGAAAAGGGGCTGGCAGCTTATATGCAGCATGATGGACAACTGGAAGCATATTAGACCAGAGCTATGTGAAACACTGACAGCTCCTAATAAACAGGACAGGACACCTAGAAGATGAGATGGGCCACTGGCAGAAAAAGGGCTGCAGGGCAGGTGCCTGGGCAGGAAGACCACCCCAGGTTCTGCCCTCTGTTTCCTGGCCGTCCTGTGCATCCACCCTGGTTATCCTGAAGGTGGTATAGGAATAGGATTTTGTAGAATAAGGTCAAGTACCTGATATCCAGCTGCCCCCAACCAAATCAAGAACTATCACAGCAGGCAGTTTCCCCACTTTCCCCACTAAAGATTGTTACCTCCTCTCTGAAGTGGATGTTCAAAAGTATTTCTTGAATGAATGAATGAATGAATGGCCATACCTATTCTTAATTCTAGAACCTAGAGTTCCATGGGAGTTTTTTTTTTTTTTGAATCACTTAGTTTCCAAAGTTTAAATTTTTGGCACATTTCTGATTTGGGGTTTGGTTGTGCTGACAGAGCAGCAGAAAAGCAAAGATTCATTAGCAACACTTTTTCTTAGGGGCATTTGTTTCATCTGATCTTTGTCCCCACAGGAGTGATCACCTATGCAATAGGGGTTGCGTGGGCTGCACAGGACGAGCTGGAGATCATTGCCACTCACCCTGCCAGAGACCACTCCTTCTTTGTGGATGAGTTTGACAACCTGTACAAATCCGTCCCCAGGATCATCCAGAACATTTGTACAGAGTTCAATGCACAGCCGCGGAACTGAATTCAGAGCAGCAAAGCATAGCAAATGCTGCCCTACTGACTGGCTCTTTGGACCATCCCTGTGCTTTCTGGGGGCACCCACAGGGTAGCGAGTCTTGGGGAGGGCTTGGGCAAACAAGATGCATTTCTGTTCTTTGCCATTGCAGTTCTCATATGTCAAAATCTGGCACTGGAAATATGATCATCGACTTACAGATTGAATCAAAATGATACGTCAGTTTTAGGGTGCTGAGGATTTACATTTTGACAGTTGTTTTCAAAATCCATGTTCAGAAGAGAGTGCAGCACTTATTGACAGGCTTAAATGGAGCTTTTGTGAGAATTTTTTATTTTTATTTCTCATAGAACTCTGTAACCCTCCACAAGTTTCATTTTGTCATGACAGTGTAGGAGTTGCTTAATTAAATGTTTAAAAGGATCACATGCGCTCTTTCTCACTGTGTCACGTGTCATGGGGTGGGAGGTCTGTGGTGGGGGCCACCCTCCACTCTTCCAGCCCAAGGTAATAACATATCCACTGGTACGGAGAATGTGGTAGGGTCCCTGCTGTTCCTGTTGTCTGAATCACTGAATGCCTGCATCACGCAGCTTTTGGAACACTGGCCCTTGAGGAACAAGTAGATCTTGCTTGAAAGTGGTGCTACCCAAATCCCGATTCTCAGGTTCCATCTTAATACCAGTGAAATCCAAGTCTCTGGGAAGAACTGGAATCCAAGTATTGGCATATTTTAACAGCTCCCCAGTGACTCTTAAAGGTTGCTAGGATTGAGAACCACTGCACTACCTCTGAGGGATCAGTGTTACAGTCATTTCCTACAAGTTTCCATGCCTGTTGTCCTAAGGGATCCATCTAGTTTAGCATTTGTCTTGAATTTTTCAATGATAGCTAAATTTTAAATTTTTTTTTTGTACCAGAGATTAAACCCAGGGGCACTCAACCACTGAGCCACATCCCCAGTCCTATTTTGTATTTTATTTACAGACAGGGTCTCACTGAGTTGCTTAGTGCCTCGCTTTTGCTGAGGCTGGCTTTGAACTCAAGGTCCTCCTGCCTCAGCCTCCGGAGCTGCTGGTATTATAGGCATGCGCCACCGCAGAGGGCTGAGAGCTAGATGTTATTATTGATGTTTTTGCATTACAATAAGCTGGGAGAAATCTGGTTCAACTTTCCTTTTTACTTCCATGTTCTGCCAAGAACATATCTGTCAAGATGTGAGATACATGTACAATGGGGAGACATTCAAAAGAATACTAAAAAGGGCTCACTCAGTGTCTGGGTATATGTGATGTCTAAAACTCCACTAGACTTGATTTTTCTCAGGAATTAGGGTCTTTGGAAAAAAAGCTTTTTTTTTTTTTAACTAAGGCTCAATGTTTGCTTGGGGTATTGGAGACTGAACCCAGGGATCTTTTACTACTGAGTCACATCCCTAGCCCTTTTTATTTTTAAATCACTTAGTTTCCAAAGTTTAAATCACTTAGTTTAAATCACTTAGTTGCCAAAGCTGTCCTGGAACTTGGTGATCCTCCTGCCTCAGCCTCCCGAGTCACTGGGATCACAGGTAGGTGTGTGCCACCATGCCTGCAAGTCTCAAAGTTTTGTGATAAGGCTCGGCTAAAAATTTCTGGCCAAAATAACAAGGTCCAGATATTTCTTGTTTTCTTGGGCTTTTTAATCCTTTTGAACAGGACAGCACCTTCATAAGATAACTTTCCCGGCAGCCGCCTCAAGGGCCTGCGTGGGTTTACAGAAATCTTCCTGTGTCCAAGGATGTTTCAGCCTCAAGGAAGAATTTCCAAAGAACCATGTTGTTTTCTAGTCAAAATACTAAGAGAAGATCTCCCCTTAGCTTACAGTATATAAATATAAAAACTGAAAGCACGAAATCAATTGCTTTGGAAAAAGGTATTTATTCAACCAATGCCTTTGAGGAATTCATAGCCCGGCAGGAAACCACAATGAAGAATTAAAGTCATATCATCGTCATGGGCTTATGCACCAAATGCATGAAGGGCAACTGCAAACGACCTCATAAGAAATAAAACTGTAGTTATGAAGTAAGTGTTTGCCACAGGTTGGGCACTGTTCTAAGGCTTCACACGTGCTAACTCACCCCTACGATTTGCTGAGAAACTCTTCTTATTCACATTTTATAGATCATACATCTGAGGCCTGGAGAGGTCAAGGAACTTGCTCGAGGTCATAGAGTTGGCACAAGGAAGATCTGAAAAGTTCGCACAGGCAATCTCTCTCCTGGGTCTGTACTCTCACCCACTTTGCTTCTTAAAGGGGTGGCATGGAAAATAACCAAAGGGGCTGCCCAGGGAGTTCTCTAGAAAGTTTGACAATTTAAAATATACATCCTTAGGGTACGTTAAATGTACAAAGTGAACAGAGACTGTGAAATGTCCAGGGTAAACTCCACTCTCCCCCTGATTTGCCCTGATTGCCTGCACAGACACTGTGTCTCACTTAAGGGTGATTTTAATCTCTAGTCCACGGTCCCTGTAGTTTCCGGTACACAGCAGGCTCTCCTATCATCTTGATAAACTCCTACTCATTCTCCAAGTCTCAATGCAAATGGTACTGCCTCTGTGGACCCTTCTCTGACTTGCTCAGACAGATTAAGCTCTCTGGCTACAGGATTTTGACCTATTTATTCTCCAGAAACTTCTTTGGTCCCTTCTCACTAAGGGATACAAGCAACACACATTATCAAGGACTTGGAATCCAGACAATGAAAACTTTGAATTTAGGTCACCTGATAGTGGGCACCCCCCAGTGCAATGGCAACGGTAGTATGAGAGGCAAAGATAAAATAAGAAGAGAGAAGCAGGATGTGGTGGCCAGAGGAGAAGGGAACTTAGGTCCCATTCACAATGCACCCCTCTCCTCTGTCCTCCTCAGGTTTCTTAGAGTATGTTACAATCACCGTCTTTCTAAGGTCAGAATCCTCTTTCCACTCTGTTCCTCTCCTGCTCTCATTTCTCCGCAGAAATGAAAATCCTTGTTTGCTGTTCCTTTGCTGAGCTTTGTTTAACCAAAATTAGTAAGTGCCTACTGTGTGCCAAGCACTGCGATACAAAGATGAATGAGGCCTGATCCCTGCCTGAGCTTACAGACTAGCTTGAGAGATGGGAACGCGGAGAGCAGCTCACCAATGAGACAGGTGACAGGCAAGTTTGCGAAGGCTTCCTGAGCTCGGTTTTCTTGAAAGATCCCAGTTCATTCAGGCGATGAAAAATGGAAAAGGCGTCCCAGTAGAGGTGTGGTGGAAGCAAAGGCTAGGAGGCGTGAAGTAGCATGGCACCCTGCAAGACTGACAGCATGAAAGCCAAGGCCAGGGCACCAGGAAGCAAAGCTGGAGACTCAGGCAGGGGCCAGGCCATGGAAGGCTGTTTGTTACTTAAGGTTCTCTTGGTGGCAAGTAGCAGAACTCAATTCATAGGAGCTCAAGCAGAGGGGGCATTTTTGGAAGGAAACTGGATTAACTCAGGAACTCCAGGCCAGGGAGACAGCAGAAATAAGGGACAGGAGCAAGAAAGGAGACCAGATCACTCTTATATTCTACCTTCTCCAGAATGATCTTTATTTGGAAGTTTGTGAACAGTTTTGGAGATAAAACAGAAGGAAACTTCCCTCAACTCAGGGACCAACCCCACAACTCAGCCCCCGTCAGCAGGGCCACCTGGTAATCCAAGTTGATGTGGCTGATAGGGCAGGAGCGCCCACATCTCCTACCTGAGCACCTACAGTTAATACGTTTTTTGAAGTTCCTTGAAGCATCAAGACAACTTTAATCTCAACGAATGCATGTCCACAGGGCCCAAGTTTGGAAAACCAACGTGGGCTGCTTGTTGGCCTCCTCGCTTGGTAGTCAATCTCTGTTTTGCTTGAAAGCTTTATGTTCGAAAGTCAAGAACTGTCTCTCCAAGATGCCCTGTCACTTCTCTTGGCCTTGCAAGATGTTGCTTTTTACACACCATTGACTACTGCAAAGCTGTTCCAATGGCCAGGGATGCAGACATGATGCTCCTGAGATCCACTTCTACATCCATCAGAAGGCTTAACTGAGGAGAAATGTTCTATTTAAATCACCATCCACACAGAAAACAAATAAGATTGAAAAGACCTCAGTTTCAAGGTAGGTTTCTTCTTTAAAAAAAAAAAAAATTCTTTTTAATTGAAAAACATTGAGCTGAATTTTCTCCCTGCCACCCCTCTTACACAAACAGGGCCTGTAGGCACTGAGCTGCCCAAGTAAGCAAATACTGTCGTTGGCTTGGCAGCCGAGACTGCTAAAGCACACAACCTCGGCTGAATAGCTCCTTTCTGAGACTCCCCCAGCCTTGTGCTTGCTTGAGGTGAGCAGGGTGTATTCAGGTTAATGGCAAATGGAATCTGGATTCCTCACAAAGAGCCTTTACATGAGCAGCCAGGGCACAGAAACCCACAGAGCTTGGAAGCCATTGAAACTTCTGAAAGGCCAAAACAAGGCCCAAGATCAATGTAATTGTTGTTGGTCTGACATCCCAAAGGCATCAGTAAAGCTGTATCCTGATATCATGGTATTGATTTTTTTTCAATTATCTTAACACTTTACAAGCCCTCCTTGGAACTATGGTGAAAGGAGTTCTTTCCAACCTCAATAGGAGGGTTTGTGCTGCATTTTAAAGCCAAAGAGGGATCAGGGAAAGTCGAAAAGGTTGCAAACCACTGTGGTAATGACTGCGATATGCACCAAGCAAAATAAATGAGCAGACAATTTTCTAAAGGGCAAAGTGGCAGTGTAATTTATTTAAAAAACACCCTCATTGAACTTGGGGACAACCGCAGCATGGAAACTGCAGGGGACATTTCCAGTTCTGTGACCCACACACAAGACCCGGAATACCACATCCCTGTTTCTACCTTGAGAGAAGGGGGCATTCTCCTGAAATGGAAAATCCATTTTTCATCCTGGAAAGTTCTAATCCTGATCAGTCAACAAAGATCTCTAG